AGCAGCAAAACGAAATTTCAATCAGTGTGTGAACACAAAAGGGAGCTTTATGACAGATATTTAGCAGGCGAAGTAGAATACACTGCCAAGAACGGTAACTGTAAACAGTTTTTGAGCACTCTGAAACGTCAGTTCGACTCGTTTGCAAGGAATACGATAAACGCAAGCGAATGGCAGACTTATTTCAGGTACTTACTGAACCCCGATATCACGACAGGAGACAAATCTCAAAGTGTTATAAACCACTTCACAGACCAACACTCATGTGACTGTGATGGTCTAGCCGACAGTGATGCCTTTCTAGAAACAAGGCAAAAATCAATCTACGGGCTTGTCAACGGTAAATCACCGGGTCAAGATGGTACCCGGAACTGTTCAAAATGGCTAATGTTGTTTTTTTCCTGAAACATCTGAAAATGCTTTTCAATAAAGTACTGACAGTGAAACTATCCAAGATGAATGGAATAATGGAGTGGTTATCCCCATCTTCAAATCAGGATCCAAACAACTATAGGGGTATCTCACTTCTCAACGTATTGGGTAAAATATTTACTGATATTATCGAAAAGTCAAGATGGATTCCGTCAGGGATATTCTACAGCAGATCACCTAGTCACGCTTCAATCACTATGCTCAAAATATCTTTGTAGATCAAAGGGCAGATTTTATTGATGTTTTATGGACTTCCGAAAGGCCTTCGATCTTGTGGACAGGAAAGGAATGTTGAACTTGTAACAGTCACGTATAGATCGTGTTCAAGTGGAATATTCGTCATATTCGTCGATATTGACGACTTGATGCTCCTACTTTTTGCGGATGACATTGTGTTATTTTCGTCTACCATCATCGGCTTACAGAGACAGCTTAACATACTGGAATCCTACTGCTCAGAATCAGGACTACAACTGATGTTTCCAAGATCCAAGATTGTAGTTTTTAGAAACGGTGGAAACTACCACAGAATTAAAAATGGACTTATAAAGGACTGCCTATCGACACCGTCACATCCTACAAATAGAATGGCCTTATCTTCTCATCACGACTAGTATTTACAAAAGCATGTGACACTCTCGCACAGCAAGCTAGTAAGGCATGCCTCGCAATATACAGATTCCTACAGAAAAATAAAGAAATAACGTTTTCAACTGCATGTACGATATTCGACACCAACATAGTTTTACCAATACTCCTCTATGGAGCAGAAGTGTGGGGATGCAAGTATTCAGCTTCAACTGAAAAAGTCCAGGTAAACTCCTTTAAACACCTTCTCAAAGTTTGAATATTGGCATCAAACAAGGCAATTCTAGGTGACACTTGAAGACATTTGTTTTTTATATCGACACAAGTATCGGCCATCAAGTACTGGATAAAGGTTCTACGAATGACAACCGGTCGCCACGCACATCAGTGTTACCTGATTCTTAAGTCACTCGCTGATGTAGGATGTAGGAAAAAGGAACTGGAATTCTGATATTCGAGAAACATTGTTCAACATAGGATTCTCACATGTATGGATCGCACAGGATGATGTTGGAGATGTACATAATTTCTTATCAAGTTTAAAAACAGCGCCTCAAAGATAGATGACTCTACAATTGGCATTATGAGATAAACAGTTCAAGTTTCCTTACCCACTACACTTCATTTAAGTTTTACTGGAAAGAGAATCATACATCACGAACATCACGAACAAACAACTAATAAGAGTTTACTTCAAATTTAGAGCATTGCTAACTAACTTCAGGATGAACAATCCAAGAACCTGTAAAGATACAGTGAGTGAGTGAGTGAGTTAAGATTTAGAGTCACATCGGCAGCATTGCAGCGATATCGTGACTATAACAATATATACTGTAATAATAAAGAAAGGTTATCTTGTAAATTTCTGTCAACAAAGGACAGTAAAACAACTAGGCTATCACAGATAGAAAGGTAAAACTACCATGTAAGCATAAAACATATATTACAATACAGGGCAATACAATAATAAAAAAACCGGGCTATAGATCACCAACAACTGAAGGTACACCATACAGGGGACCATGGGGACTTACAGTACCTTTGCTACCTACATGGACCCTAGCTGGATTTACATCATTCCTTCAGATGCTGGTGATTTGTGCACAATTTAACCATACATTAAAAAATACATATATACTACGATTAAAATCACGGACAATGAAAAATACTATGAATGAAATTGGACTTACATACCCTCTCCGAGGACAGTAAAGATACAACGGCGATCAACCCCATATGTGAACTTTATAAATGTAACCTTAATGAAGACTAGAACCACGTATTTTGTGTTTGTGACAAGTATAATCAAGCCAGAACTCTATATCTACAGAAGGTACAATCAGTCTACAAAGGCCCCCTAACCATTCAGGCAATTTTCATGTCACAAAATAATAATGTACAACACCTAACAGCTATCAATCTCAATCAAATATTTAAAATAAGATCTATATGAGACGTGTTGTGATCAAGTATAGTTTATATTGTATTTGATCAACTTTATGACGATAGCACTGAAATTGCAAATATAATGAATGTATATTTCACAAATCAAACAAAAGTTAGTTATCCAGACAGGAATATTGAAAAGGTTGTTTCGTATACTGATAATTCTTTATGTGACGTTTATCTGAACCAAAACGAAGTTTATAAAACTCTTTCTTCTGTAGATACTACAAAAGCAACAGACCCAGGCGGAATTAGCAATAAGTTTCTGAAAATGAACGCTCGATTGTTGGCTGCCCCTCTAGCAGATGTCTTTAACCAATCCCTTTCTGAAAATACCTTTCCTCAAGTTTGGAAGGAAGCCTCTGTCGTCCCCATTCACAAAAAGGGTAGTATAAATGTTCCAATTATAGACCCGTTGCACTCACAAGGTGTCTGGCTAAAAAATTTGAAAAGTGCGTTTTCAAACACGTCTTCAATTATTTCAGAGATAACGCCATAGTTTCTAATCTCTAATCAGGATTTAAACCAGGCGATTCTACTGTTAATCAACTAACGTATTTATATGATTTCATTGCCGGTGCAGTAGATAAAGGAAAGGAAATAAGAGCAGTATTTTGTAATGTAAGCAAAGCATTCCACAGGGTTTGGCACAAGGGTATCATTTATAAATTAAAAAGATATGGTATAAAGGGTAATTTGTTAAAATGGTTTGAGAGTTATCTTGAAAACAGAGAACAACGTGTCGTAATTAATGGATTTAGATCTGATACTAAAGCTGTATTTGCTGGAGTACCCCAGGGTTCAGTATTGGGGCCGCTCTTGTTTATTGTTTATATGAATGATATAGCTGAAGGTATAAATAGTAATATACGCCTTTTTGCGGATGATACTTCTTTATATGCGATCATTGATGATCCTGGGGTAACTGCTATTGTAATGAACGATGATATACAGCGAATTGCCGAATGGGCAGAAAAATGGCAAGTATCTTTTTATCCCAATAAGACAGAGTCAATATGCTTTACTCGTAAATTGCAACCAACTCCAATGCCGAACCTAACCATGAATGGTAATGTCATTAATTCCGTACAAAGTCATAAACATTTAGGTCTTATGCTTCAGCATGATTGCTCATGGAATGAACACATTAACGACTGTGCTAAAAAAGTTGCACCAATGGTGAATTGTCTAAGAAGTCTCAAATATCGTTTAAACCGAAACACATTAGAAACCATGTACAAACAGTTCATATTACCAGTTTTTGATTATTGCAGTCATATATGGGATAATTGTACTAAACAGCAAGCAGATATACTTGAAAAGCTCACTCTTGATGCTCTAAGAACCGTGTGTGGTGCTGTTCGTGGTACCAGCCATCATAAAATATACAAAGAAACTAATTGTCACCCGTTGTGTCGTAGAAGGTACCTTCATAAAATGACCATGTTTTACAAAATGGTTAATAACACTACGCCAAGTTACCTTAGTAACCTTGTTCCACCTAGAGTATCAGATATCGTTGGTTATAATCTGCGCCGTGATTCAAATCTTCAGACTATAAACTGTAAGTCTGTAAATTATGCAAGCTCCTTTCTTCCAGATACTGTTAAATTATGGAATTCATTAGCAGCTGAACATAGAGAATCACCGTGCCTATCGAGATTCAAAAATGTATTTTTAAATGATTCTAATATCTACAGTCATTTTGACTTAAATGTCGGTAGCAGATTTTGTCAAATCATACATTCTCGTCTTCGACTTGAATGTAGTGACCTTAATGCGCACAAATATGAAAAAATTATATCTCCAACATCATCTTGCTCTTGTGGCCACAACTATGAAGACTCTGCTCATTATTTCTTCCCATGTACTCCTTACAACGATATACGTCAAATTATGTATTTTTCTACTAAAGGATTTGACCTAAAATCAAATTTGTTTTTAAACCAAAGCTGTTCCTCGATAGTAAACAAAGAACTTTTCATTTCAGTGCACTCGTGTTTAAATTTAACAGGCAGATTTGATCAAAAATAATTTAGTCATATGACATATATATACGTACTGTTTAACAATGACTGGCGTTAATTTCCCGTTTTTGCAACATTTACATTTCATTCACATTGTACATTCATTATGACATGTTTACTCTTCCTTCCATTGTATCCCAGAGCGGTATTCATATAAGCTTATGCTTGTTTACCAATCCGGTTCCTTTCTTTGGAAATAAATATGTTCAAATCATATTGTATTTGTCAACTGTATCATAGGCCTTATGGTCCAAACACTACTGAATAACCTTCTGTTCTGTCCTGAGTCGGCTGTGATTCTCCATATTGAAGCTGATTCTTATTAAAGATTTCACATTCAACCATATGCATCTGCTAAAACATTTAATGATTCATCAAAAATACTAACAGACATATATGCTGGTGTATCACTGTTAAAACTGCCTGCTAGAAGAAATGAAACAAGAGAATGATCATGGAATCGTTGGCTGCACCGAAAACTTGATGTCTAATGTTGAGCGTACCGACCTTGCATCACCTTCTTCCCGATAACTGTTACGACCAGGGTCGCACACGATGCCACAAAGTAGCGACCAGGTTCTGCTATTATCCTTACTCCTCTCTTAGCGGGAAAGTGGTCCTCGAGGGCAATGTTGATGTGGCCTGCAACCTGCAAATACCAGTCAACACAAGCTAACCATCAACCTGAATGTTTCATGTGCATACTGCATCTACTGCATCTGAGCTCGGATAACTCATAAATGGAGGGTGTCCCTTTGCCAAGAAAATTAATTACTCCCAATTAAATTAATTCAAATAACAATGAACACGACTATTATCACAGAATCAACGCGGCCATACAGTTATGATCAGTATAGAACAGTTGAGGAGACATTGTTGGACACTGAATTTTTAATTTATCCCAACTATAATAAAATAATGCAACAGGACGAAAAATTTAGATTTGCAATCATTTGTAGAACAAACGAGGCAAAAAATGAACAGGACTATCCTCAACCTCGATTACAACATCAGCTGATGTTTGATTTTGAAGGAATACTGATGCATATTGTATAATAATTTGCCGCATTCTCTTAAAAGTACAATATAATATCATTATAACGGGATTTACACATACACTGTTGCTAGAAACTTGATATCAATATTGATAAATATTTAAATGCAAGATCGATTGATATTTCGAACAATGTTCATGTATGTCTCAGTCATACCACAAACAGCACTAACATTATTTACATGGCCTGACATCTTCAAAATGACAAGAGTTTCTGAACAATGGTGTCTGGTCCAGACTCGATTATTTACAGACAGCCGCCATATAGCTGAAATATTGCTGAGTGCGGCGTAAAACTAAACTCACTCACTCACTCACTTTGAACAATGGACTTTGTAGCATATGTTATATTTGGAATTACACTTTGACTGTAAGGTATGGATGCTAGAATGTTTGGACGGTGTCTGATTAGGGACTCGAACCCACGCTCTCCTGGGCACCTAATCGCCAGCACACAAGGTAGTGCATGTCATTTCTATCAGATAGCATCTGCTCTAGTTCTCTTAGATCACACATCTCTCGTCTGTCAGATGATTTAATGATATTCTGGAAAACATGGGATAGTTATTTTTTTACTATTCCTTGGTATAACTAGATACCCTCTCCCTTATACGTCGTATGTATGAACATATTTCGAGGTTTATAACATGAAAAGGTTCTCTGGAGATCCAATTATCGAACAACTTTGCACTGTAACGCTCCTTTTGGGTATAGAAACTGGGCGAAAGAAGCTATGGTTTAAATAATACCTGTAGGTTGCAAAAATGTTTCAGCAAAGAAATTCAAGTAAAGAGCCGAAACTCTAAATATTTAAATCAAGCTTTTACAAAGGTAAAAAGGAGAATCTATACTGTATTTCTCAACTTATGGGTTGCACAAAAAAAATGTCCCCATGAGGATTTCCTTGTTGTAACTATACATCCCTGCCTTTCCAGTTTGGGGAAAAGAGGAAAACACATTGCCAAACATCCTATGTCTGCAACTAGATTAATAAAAATAAATTGACATAAAATGCAAACTGCTGACAACGATTATGCATATGAACATTAACCAACTGGAGTCCTACTGCCTGAACTGAAAACAAGAACAAACAGACTCCACCAAGTGGTTTGCCAGACAGTTTCCATCATCTGATTGCATGGTTCAACTTAGAACTCGGGATCAGCCCATTTAGGAAGGTATTATTGTAAGCCTGTGGATGTTAATTGAGTTACCTCTTTAAATTCCACAGGAGCTCTCGTCTTCCCGAAGAACCCCCTCCAATATCCAGGACACTCAGAGAAATGTTGAGTTCGGAGGCAATGGCAAAGGCTCTGTCAGCTCTTTCTATGGCATCAATGAACACACGGCCATCCACGACTCCACTTCCAACATGGAAACTGTAAGAAGTATACAATAGCAACTGAAATGATTATCGACGAGTGAGTGAGTTAAAATGGTGTATTGGATATCCCAGGACACGATGGGTGATTTGTCTATTAAGTATTATCATTTTCTTTCAGATAGCATCAGTGTGCACACATGAATCAGTGTCACTGAAATTGAACGAAACGATATCACAAGGGTTCTGTTTCTGTTTGTCGAAAATGAGCAATGAGAAAAGCTGCAGTAAACTGCATATGGTGAGCACTTCATCTCACGAAATGGGACTTTGAAATGCTGAATTGTGAGAGGGAGGTTTAGCGTGGGAGCTATTCGTCATTCAACACTTTTATATAGAGCTTGTGTACAAGGATTGAGGATGTCATCTTTCCAATATTTGTTGTCACATGTATCCAAACAACACAGTATAGTTTCGATTTCCCGAACAAGATTTTCAAGGTGCCTTGACTATGCGTACCATCCACAAATACGAATACGTTCATTTGTATTCATACTATCGCTTGTGGACAGGCTGAAGTACATGGCTAAAGTGTGTGTCCATATTTGATGAGACACTTAGAATAACGTTGGATCAACGGATAACGTTAGATCACAGAGAACCAGAAACAGTACCACTAAGCATAACGTTAGATCAACACATATCACAGAGAACCAGATACAGTACCACTTAGCATAACGTTAGATCAACACATATCACAGAGAACCAGATACAGTACCACTTAGCATAACGTTAGATCAACCCATATCACAGAGAACCAGGAACAGTACTTCTTAGCATAACGTTAGATCAACACATATCACAGAGAACCAGAAACAGTACCACTTAGCATAACGTTAGATCAACCCATATCACAGAGAACCAGATACAGTACCACTTAGCATAACGTTAGATCAACCCATATCACAGAGAACCAGGAACAGTACTTCTTAGCATAACGTTAGATCAACCCATATCACAGAGAACCAGGAACAGTACCACTTAGCATAACGTTAGATCAACCCATATCACAGAGAACCAGATACAGTACCACTTAGCATAACGTTAGATCAACCCATATCACAGAGAACCAGGAATAGTACCACTTAGCATAACGTTAGATCAACCCATATCACAGAGAACCAGGAGTACCACTTAGTAACGTTAGATCACCCATATTAGCATAACGTTAGATCAGCCCATATCACAGAGAACCAGGAATAGTACCACTTAGCATAACGTTAGATCAACCCATATCACAGAGAACCAGGAACAGTACCACTTAGCATAACGTTAGATCAACACATATCACAGAGAACCAGGAACAGTACCACTTGGCATAACGTTAGATCAGCCCATATCACAGAGAACCGGGAACAGTACCTGATGCCCACCACTTTCAGTTCCATTCTCTTAGCGGCTGCAAGAAGAGGCCGGACTTGGTGCTCTTTACATCCATACTGGATGCTTAACTGGTCTTGCACGTCATATTTATCTGACGGTTTTATTCTCAGCAACAATCTGAAACATTAAAACAACAACATGCTGTTGCTGGATGAAGTTCACATATTGATCAACTAGTCAGTGATGCTTACATGTAATGGATATGTTATTGGAGCCAATGCCCGTTTTTTTTTTTTTTTTTTTTTTCTTTTTCTTAGTTATTATATATATATATATATATATATATATATATAATCTATATATATATATATTGTCTTTTCTGTTTTCATTTGTTTGGGGGTTGTTGGTGTGTGTGTGTGTGTGTGTGTGTGTGTGTGTGTGTGTGAGTGTGTGTGTGTGTGTGAGAGAGAGAGAGAGACGGAGAGAGAGACAGAGAGATATGTTTATATACCATAATAACATTAGGTGCATTTAATGTGTGGCGTTTGGGGAAAGAAGGCGTTTCAGAAGTATAGTATTAAATATTTACCTTACACATAATAGTTCCTTACACCACCACTGTGTTTCGTTGAAATACCGTGGTCCGAACTTTAAGTTTGGAGAAGCCGATGTGAAAAAGTAACAATGAATTTCAATAATTTTGATATAGCTGAGCATGGTGTTACGGTTAACAATTTGCCCTGACCAAAGGTTTAAGAATCCCTTTGAACCAGCAAAATAAAACACAGACAAGTCTAAAATATTCAATAATATATTGAACAAACAATGAGCAAGCTACAATAAATGACAATACAGATATTTGTTCAATGCAATTGAGTCACAAATCTAAAGTAAAGGGTCACAAATATGAAATATTAACTCACCAGAGTCTTGGCATTTACAATAAGAGCAGATATTCTAATTGAAGGTACTTTACAATGAGAGTTGAATAAGGCTTGCAGTGTCACGTGTTCGTCCGTGTGTGTGTCAACACAACAACCAGCCTTTATATATATTGACACAGAGTCTAGAACATTCTTTATCCACTGAGAACATTCACGAATCATGTTGAACATACGACCGGGAGTCAAAACAAAATAAAATCAATGTTTTGTATCGACTGGTACTCCGCTTTACCCAACCACCATGAAGGGTTACGTAAATGGCACGTTCTTATCAAAATGGCGCGTGCCAGTTGAAAATGACTACTAGAACCAAACAAACTGTATGAGACAAAAAGGACAACTGGCAATTGGTTCACCGAGTAGCAGAAGAAGGTGTCTGCCGCCTCTCAGTAATTAAAATTAATTCCACGCGCGACTTCTTCGTGATGAAATGTTTTTCCATCACAAGGGAAAAATATTTCAGTGTTAAAACGGTAAAAGATCTTTTTAACAAAGTTAATTATCATTTAATTATTGAGTTTTTAAAGGAAATTGAACTGATTGATAAATTTTGAGTGATACAATTTCTCTATATTTTTTAATGATTGGAAGTTTAAATTAGTAACTTAGATTTGTTAGTGGCTGTACCCTCAATGGGGGTTAAAGTATTGTAAAATTATTGTCCTCCTGAAAGGGTACGTAAGTCCCAAAACTATCAAAGTAACTTTCAAACGTTTTTGTGATTTTAATTATGGCTAAATTTCACTACAATCGCCAGCGGCTGAGGGGATGATGTAACTCCAACTAGGGTCCATGTAGGTAGCAAAGTTACTGTAAGTCCCCATGGTCCTTAGTATGGTGATCAACCTTCAGTTGCTGGGGATCTATAGCCCGTTCTTATATTGTACTGTTGTCTCTCGTGATATATTTTTATGATAGCGTACTGGTTTTAAATTAAGAGCTGTGATATTTTAGTAGTTTTACTGTCCTTCGATGACAGGTTTTTACGTTATCCATTTATTGATTTGAATATTGATATAAACTGTTCTTGTCACGATATGGCTGCAATTTGCCGATGTGACGTTGAGTTTTAACTTACTCGTAATGAAATGTACCTCGTTAGATGCTTAATAAGTGCACACACACACACACACACACACACACACACACACACACACACACACACACACACACACACACACACACACACACACACACACACACACACCATCCCTCCCTGATCCCCGGACATTCACATACGTCTTAACAAATGTCAAGTGCTCACGGACAGTCAGACACCACTTCAGAAAACTGACAAGTATGTGTCTGTATTTTAATCATAATTACAGGTAATGTACCTTGCGTGGGGATGAATTGACTTTATTTTGATGAGTTCATGCTCGCTGTCAAATGCCATCAAATCAACACCAGCAGCCGCCGCATATCTGATGTCTCTGCGGCATTTGACACTGTGGGAGTAGACGATGTTGCATGGCTCCACGCCCAAACCAAGAATAGAGGTCATTTCATTCTGAAGGAAAATATAAAAATACAATTGACATATCAAACATTGCACCCATTCACTTAGAGATTAATTTTATTTATAGAAGGTGTATTATTGTCAATGGCAATTTTCGACATTACATTAAACAAACAAAGGATTATAAATTAACACATGTCACTTCCCGGAGGTACCAACAAGCCCTCCTCTTTGGCATTTGGTAAGCTACTGACATTGGAGATGTAATGTCCCTACCCTGCTGGCACAGTCAAAGTAGACACCGAGGTCAGCTAAGAGAGAGAGGATCTGAGGGTCGTTGTTGCACTTGACAGCTGAAACAGATGCAGTCAAGGGCCACACTGAAAAAACTCTGTTTAACATAACACCTTCGGTGTTACATATCCATATCTATCTCGACAGGAACAGACAGAAAGCCCGTCCTATGTTCAATACGGACGACATAAACATATTCGGACCTATTATAGGGCAAGGTCCCAGCAAGGTTCATGTTGGCTTCTGTTTCAAGTAGCACCAAAGTAAGAAAGCAAAAGTCAAAATTAAAGTTCGACATTTTCTTAATGTGGGTGAAGTTGTGATCAAGCAAGTACTCTGAGGTAAAATTCGTCGCATTCAAAATTATTTTACTAAACATCGACATGCATGCATGTATGTGTGTGGTTGTTTGTAAAAGCCAGAATGCCGACAGCCCACTGACGTACCCGTTAACATCAGTGGTTTTCTGTATTTTATCAATTTGAATCTCACATTTTTAAGTTATCGCAAGAAAACTCTTTCCGTCAAAAGGACACTATTTAGATCTTTTTTTCCAACGTTAGACCAGTGAAACTCAACCCATACCTAATATTTTTTTGTTGTTTATCGACAATGAAATTGCGACCAGGATGTTACTTTCCACTTGTTCCTATTTCCATTTAATATGATATAATCGTATGATTTAATATGATATAATCGTACAATGGACTCGCTTATTAGAAGAAACTTGTTTTGATGGAAGGGTTGTTTTTTATTTATTGTGTTACGCCCTAATTCCCAAGTTGAACTGAAAACCACCCTGTTAATCAGTCTGTAAAAGAACAATTTGTGAAAACAACACATAACCAAAACTGTGCTTGAATTAACAATTGTATTCTAAACGTAACTCAGTCCACAATTAATACTAATCACTACACATGTATCACTATGGCAGTACCAGCTCAAAGGTATTATGACACAAGAGCAGTAGTTATAGCAATAATATTCACCTCACGGCAACAATAATGATCTTCACGCACAAATACTGCTCTTCTTGTAACTTGAGCTCGATTCCCCACATGGGTACAATGTGTGAAGCCCATTTCTGGTGTTCCTCGCCGTGATATTGCTGGAATATTGCTAAAAGCGACGTAAAACCATACTCACTCAGTCACTCTTGTAAGTTGATGCCGTGTTAAATGAGGAGAAATATATATCTTCCCTTATATATAAAAGATTATCTTGCCAGAACTGTCTACAATACTCTCTAAGGCATATGATTCTGGAAAGAGATCATTGTAGCACTTACTAGCTTTTTCTGCCGCAATCAAGTACAAGTCTAAATATAGCACAAGTCCAAATATAGTATGTCACGCTGCCTCTTTCTGAATATCCACTTATAAAATATATTACACGCGAGTGTTACATACTAAACAGCACTGCCACATGATAATTGATAGTTATATTTCTACGTACCGTAGAATGGCTTCACTCTGGGAAGATACTTGCGCCATTGTTTCAGCTTTCCTTTGACATCATCCATATCAACCATGTAGAAGGCTTCTTCAAAATATTCATCCTTGAAGAGAAAATATTTTATGAACATCTTTCGTAGACATCGAATGGCATCAGGATAATCCCCATCTCTAAAGAGATTGAACGGTCTGACATTTACTCTTATTTAGCCGATTACGTTACTGATGAAGGTAGATCGTGTCAATACTCGTATATACAACCTACTCGTATCCTTCCATTGCAGTTGGACGGTTGGACCGTCAAAACATATATTTATCCAGTTATTGTCAACTGCTAACTGTATATTATTGAAATATTGCTTTGTTTATTTATCATGCTATATTGAAGAGAAATCCGCTCTGCTGTTGAACTTTGTATATACTTGTATGGGCCTGTGGCCTTCAGTTCTGAATAAAGATAGAATACCTTTTCCGTTTCCTGTTTAATAATTCTGTTGATTTTGTCTTTGACGCCATCGCAATCTTCGTATAGAAACACGCTGTCCATTCTTCCTGAATGAAAAGCAGTTTTCATTATGTGTGTTTTCTATGACAACCAGCAGTAGTTCAGGCAACTCACTAATGTCGGATTGAAATGATTGACCAATATGCCAAGCATGAAGACACATGAAGTGTATGACAAATGATTTTTCTGGTGTGATATCTTACTTAGTGCCTCTCATTTTGATGTATATTTTCGTTTATTGACTCATTCTGTTTACACGTATGATTCGTGGGGGGGTTGTTCTAAACCCCAACATAGAGTGACAGCAGGCAGTAATGTCCGTCCTGCTTCCCAACCCAGCTGACCGTGTCCTTTTTGCCACAATGTCCTATGTCCTAAAATTACAGTCAAACACTATTGTGTCGAAGTTGGATTTCGAGTTATCCGAGGTTCCACAAAATCGGGAAATAATTTCCAGATATGAAGTACACAGCTACGAAGCTTTTACTTCGAGACAACCCTAAGTTCGACACAGCAATATTCGACACAACGGGTTTTGTATGTTCATCGGCAGTGGTCATCGAACGGGTGCACACATAACTGCTTCCTTTTGTTGTTGTTGAGTTAAGTCCATCACTGTCCACAGGATTCATCAAAGCACCTGTATACATTTTACATTTTACAAATAGCCCAGTGATTCATGTATCTCGTCTACAACAGACGTTGATCTGATTGCTACAGCTACTATTCAGTCACAACTGCTGTCAACCTCGGTCTTGTAGTTAACGTAATTGTATGTAAAAACGTCAACATGGAAGAATAACTAATCTCGACTGTCCACAGATACAGATTCCATGGACATATAACTGGAAAACCCTCTCTTTGATATACACGGTATTTTGGGTATAAACAATCGTAACATTAAGCATATCCACTTTTAACAGAAATTAGTGAATTTTATTATCATCTTGCTACTGGCCAATACGACATCGTCATCTTTTGGTGAATTGTCGGCTTGTAAAAATACAGCGTTTTTCTGGTAGATGCCCATGGTTCAGCTGAAATAGCAGTTTTTAGTAAATGAATTAAATACTATTTCATAGCATTTGTGCAGGAACAAATTTGGAACAAATGTTTCGTGATAAATTAGGCAATGACTCATATTGAATATATATAGTAGTGTTACCTGTGGAATTCTACTGAGGACATACAGAAGCACTGTACAAGTTACATTTGCATCGCCTGGAATACATGTATTCCAGACAACAGCATGGGTTGTTCGGTTTCCATGATCTACAACACCTGTCACGTGGTGCTTGACATGTGCCAGGCTGCCATCAATCTGAAATGTTCGAAGATTATTGTATTTTAATTAATGCCTGTCAAAAACTAGTATCTTCACTATCAACATTCATTACACACGATAAGTACATGAGTTAGGACAAATTCATTATATTCAGCTTTTGAAATATGAGTGTCAACTGTTCAATGGTTTGAGGAGCCTGTGATTCAATATGTAATCATCACACATGTGTACCTTTGATTGTTCTGGAAATACAGGAAGGTTTGTCTTGTTTTGGTCCATGTTGTCAATGATGAGGGACACATACTTAGATGGTGACCTCTTTGCCTTGTCCCCATGTTTGTAATATTTCTCTCGAAGTAGCCTGCAAACACAAAACATTTAAAATATGAAAACTACAGACATACAGACAGACAGACATACACTGAACCTGTAAACAACCACAAAGCAGTGAGTGGCCCTTTTGTGAGTTGCTAATATTATTTCCTCATATTTAATATCTTGTGATGCGAAATCCATTTCTCAAACTACATTTTCATTAACTTCATTCATTATTACAGAAATAACAAACCTTTGCAAAGCTAAGTGTCCCTGTTTTGCTTCTTTCAAGGCCTTGACTTCTTCCTTTGCCAAGTTCTTTCTTTGTAGTGCATCTCTATACAAGATGCACAGAGAGTATTGTAAGTAAACAATTTCAACATCATGATTTATTATTTTTTCATAACACATGTCAATGGCATCTTTCAAGCTGTGAGAACACTGTACTTTTTAGGTACTGAAAACTTAAAGGAGTATCACAGTAGTTTATATAATTGTAGTAACATGAAATAGATACATGTTGACAACTTGGTACTTGGTATACCCTACTTACCTTCAGTATTTTCACGGATGAGAAGAACTCTCTCCAGAGCTCCTTAAAACGGCTATACCCAATCACCGGCTTGCCCTAATCATTGTTGTCTTCAACATAGGCGTCAAAGATTTGCCTCTTTGTAAGGCAAGATGGCAGCTGGATTTCTGTCTTGTGCGGCATGTGGTCTCCATGTCTGTAAACAAACATACAAAAATATTTTGTCTGATTACATTGATCAGTTATTACACACTGTGATTTCAAGGACAGAGACAAGCAGCGGATTACTCAAGACCCTTGGAAATGGATGGGGGAATGGAAGCACAAGAGTTGTCTTAGACAGTTTGGACTGATATGAAACAAAGTTATCAACATAAGGATATTCAGACATTAGATGCTGTGTCATACAAAGAATAACCACAAATAATAACAAAGATGATATTATGATGCTTTAGAAATGTACATGCAAACCAACCTTTTGAAATACTGATCCAGCCACACCTTTGCCTCCAGGTACTTCAAGGAATCATACTTCTGATCAGATCTTTGATCAACTTTTGTGGTAGGCAGTCCATCACAGCTCTCCCATGATGAAAAAATCTAAAAATATATTTCATTATATATCACAACATTGTACTTAACACAGTCCCTACATACACAAATTACATGAAAAAAGATTCCATAAACCCACTTCTGAAAGAAATTTACAAAGTTCTGTCTTTTCTTCACCTTTACAAGATTACCTTAACAATTATGCCTACCTTACCTGGTTTTACTGATCTTGAATACAGCACACCAACAAACACTGCAAACTTCATGGCCTTCAAGGGTGAAGAAAACATCTTACAGTCTTTGTTCCTGATATCTGAACACTGCTCTCAAATGACTGTTGATGAGGCGGCTCTGTTTGGTTTGGGTCTTCCTCCAAAACGACAATCTCAATTGGTGGATAACTTCAAAAGACAGTTTCTTCATACACTCTTTCACACAGCACTTTGTCACCAAAGCTTCTTTTATGTCTTGTGATATTAATGCCTTCTGTTCTCGTTTTCCACATCTCTTTGACCTCTCCCCTGCAAAACATTTTCAATCATAACTATATATGAAGCAATATCTAGGCTGATGTCCTTCAACATCCAGTGCATTATATATGTTTCCCTTCAAATATCATAAATGACCCTGACTCACCAACATTGCATATGTTACAGGCAATACCTCAAATCCGTGATTATGTGCAATCCATTTTCATTGAATATATACACTGTCAAGAAATATACATATTCTCTTATTGTATACACATGATCACTATATTTCAGTCCAGAAACTGCTTCATTTGTGGCTGCTAGAAGAATTAATCTCTCTATTTTTTGAGTAATGAGACAGAAAGGTTTTCCAAGAAAACATATACATGTTTGTAGCCAGGTTGGTGGAACAGTTAGCAATAATGCAGTGTAAACACTGAAGATTTTAGGGATTATGCATTCCTCATAACACATTCACAGATGAATTTCTTATTTTATGTGCTTCATCCTAAAACAATAGAACAATTGAATAACCATTAGAGAGGATAAATTGTGCACTCTCTTGGACCAGATCTAAAGGGCCGTCTGTCAGAATATGGTTCCTCACGTGAAAATGGTGCCACTGAAATACAACATTAAACAGAAATTTATTGTTTGGTTTGTTTCGCCACGCTCCATAATATTCAAGCTATATGACACAGAACCAGAAATCTAGTGATTGAGCATTATATTCGGCTGTCAAGTAGGTCAGCAAACCTGACTACACAATCGCCTACTGACATGCATGGGTTGGTGAAGACCAATCTTAAACCAGTTCGTCATGGGTCAGTGCATTTGTAAACATTGCTATCACTTTACAGATTGAGTACAATCAGTGATGAAAATATTCCGTACATGATTTTGACACATGTCTATTGTGCAATAGCACTAAAAGTAATACCTTGGGTTGCAGTGTCAACAGCTGTCTGACTGAGAAATGGTGGTGTCTTTTCTGCTCCTAGAAATGAAATACATCATTATTTACTTGTAAAACTATATTCTCCCTCTGATACAAAACAAAAACATTCTCATAAACCCACAATGCCTCCAAACTTACCCAAGGCCAGAAATCAGATTTGCTCCACCTGTCCCTGCCAGTTAAAAATTAAAAATACCTGCAGAGCAGCAGTGTCACATTGACAACGTAAAGTTAATACTGACGTCTCTATTGAATTTAATGAACATACCCGTGGAAAGTAATCCTGACCCAAATCTTCAAATTTGACCAATCTTCTCATCACAGGTGTTTGGCCTCCTATGTAAAGATTGAAAGAATGATTAGAAAAAAAGTCATTTTGTCTGCTTATTCACAACCTTTGTATAAACCAACAATTTTAAATACATGGATCTAAGACTGATGCATGCTAACACATCAATATAAATAAAAAGCTCAATTAGACACACAACAAATGGCTGTGGTATGGGCCTTAAATGACAGACTGAAACAACTTTACAAAAAGGACCCTTATTGTTACAGACTGTTTTGAGAACTGTGCTTGTGCTAAGGGCTAATTTCAGCTCATGTTACCTCAACAAATTTGAAGAGAACATACTGTTAGTATTACTGAATGAAACATTTATTCCAATAATTTTGTGTATCAACTTTTGGATTTACTGAGCCCTAAATATCCTTACAATAAAATATAATAAGGCTTCGTTCATTCACTTTATCTGTGACATGTGGCATTATAGCTTAAATGAAGTGAGTGATTGGGTGGTATGTATTCTGTTCGTTGAGATGGTGGTATGTATTCTGTTGACGTGGTGGTGGTAGGTATTCTGTTTTTGGGATGGTGGTATGTATTCTGTTGTCGTGATGGTGGTATGTATTCTGTTGTCCTGATGGTGG